GTTTTATCACATGGCCTTTTCCCATGATTGTCCTCCTTGTCCCAATTTACAGCTGCCATCATTAGATTGTTGGTTAAGACATCTGTCGATAAAGTAAAAATGTATGAGTAGGTAAAAGAGATGGCGAGGCTATTTGTCGTCGATACAGAGGCTACTTTCTCGCTTGTCCTTAGGACAAGTTTGTATATCATAGGGAATATATGCGCAAAACAGACTTTACATCATCTTTAGGGTATAATAAAATTATTACTTAATTTTGACCTTCATATTTTATTTCTCATTATTTGAAAAAAAACTATACATGTTTACCTTTAACTCTCATCAAGTACAATATTCTCCAAGAGTATATCCAATAATAGTTGGTGAACACATGACAAACTCGTTTTCTGGGCACACTCCTCTATGCTCTTTAATGTCCTACTCATTGAACCATTGCTATAATAGTTTTCAGGCTTTGACATATCAAATCTGAATTAAAAAGAACAATAATCATACACTTTAAGTTAGTAAAGTTCTGTATATACATGCATTAGGCAAGTTATGTTTTTAAATTATTGACATATTTTGCTATGAGTCAACCCACAGATATACAGGATATACTAATCAAGACTACCTGTGGTTCTTTCTCAGCTGAACTTGTATCTCATTCTATGACCGTGATTGGTACTCTCATGATCGGCCGCAAGCTTAGGAATAGCTTTGTCCATTTTGCCGCTGTGTCTTTGTAGAACAGTGCTGATGTGTGAGTTGAGACTTTTTCGCTGCGATTCCGTAATTAAGCAGGATTTGCACAGTACGGGTATGTCCTGGAGGCTCAAGTGACTTGCTGTTCTTTCAAAAACACGTCAACTTGTTTAAACAGACTGTGTTGTAGATTGACAACACAAACTTGTGCGTCATTGGCAATATTCGTTCCGTTGGCGTTTGTTACTTTTGCTCTGACAACAAGTATTGTTTTTGACAGATTGACTTAATCTTCCGTCCCCGGAGATGTGAACGTGATTGCTCAACCATCTGATAAACTGGCTATGGGTTGATGTTTTACCCAATGACCTCTTTCCAAACAATGGTTCGGCTTTATTGGGATAAGAAAAGAGGGTGGCAAAGCAAATTTTAACATGTACAAATAATATCATAACATATAATGATTACATTATACATAATATTATAATATTTCATTATATATTATTTCAATTTTAATAATGTACATACACAAAGTTATTTTGGGTCTTTTGTAGAACAGCACTTTCTCATGATACAAATCAACGACTCATTATCTATTGCCTGCAAAACAACGGTTTTTTAAATCCCTTTTTTGGGAGTAGGACACCAGTTTCTGTTTCAGCTGAGCAGCAGAATAAAACTTATTCCCATCCACCTGAAGAGCCACAACAATCTGCCAAACATGATCACGCAAAAGAACTTACGGTAGCAGAACTCAAAGCTTTGAAGAACTTCAAGAAGAAGAGAGGGTCAACAGATGCGTATTTTGCAGTGTTGCTGTTAAAGTCCTACACTTCGCCTGAAGAACGCATGAACTGTATGTACTGTGTGTGGGGAAGGACCAAAGTCAAAAGTCTTGCGTACACATACTTGAGAAATTTCAAGACCTGCCCAAAAGTCATGCATGAGCTTTCAATGTTCTGTAAGGCCTAGTTAGTCGTTCTGTATAGGTCCAACAAGATTTCTTGCTTTTAAGTACTTTAGTGCGATGATGGAATATGTTTTACCAATATGTTTCCTATTTACGTTGAGCATTTTGGATACCTTTGTCTTAATGCGTTTCTTGTGAATTGTATCACCACGGAAAACACCAAGAGCTGTCTGAGTAGCTGCTCTAGAGTGACCAGATCATTGATTTTTGTGTCATTAAATGCATCATCACACATTGCGGAAACAGCAACTTCAGCTTCTTCAATTTTTTCTGCTGAACTGACGAGACCTTTGCTTTCAAGACCTTTCCTTGTCATTGGGATTTCGATTAGTGCAGCTACAACAGCTATTTTCTTTGCTTTTAGGAAGATGTGATCTCACTAAATCAACTTTCCGCTTTTTAGCCATCGTCAGAAACTCAAGGGGAAACTGGTGTTGCCAGTCACTTTGCTGCTGCGTTTGCTTTTCGATTTTTTGGTCCTTGACTTCTCCTCCTGTTGCTTTACTTTTTGTTGGCTCTTGCCCGTTGCCCCCCATTTATATAGTGCCCGGTCATATTTTTTTGTAACACTGGTATCTGTAAAATTAGTTTCACCTTCCGGAACATTGTGCTTGGCAACTTTAAACTCCTTAGCTTTCTGTCGCTTTTCACAGCGCTTGCGGTTGATACTTTCCTTGTTATCCTGATATCATTTTGAACGCTGTTCGCGTAATTTCTCTTCCTTTCTCTTTTTGGCCTCACATAGTCTTATAGTTTCACTGTTACTAGTTTTACCCATGTTGAATTCCCTGTATTGGCTAGTCTACAAGTCAGTCACATATGTTATAACGAAAATAACAAGCCTGTTTTACGTATTTAGGGTATTTTTTATACCCTTTGCAAAAGCGTGCGTAAAAACCACTAACGGAAACTTTGGGCACAGAGTAGTACTATGCATGCCTACGAAAAAATTAACTGACGCAGTGAAATTAAGAAAAAAGTGTATTCAGGCGCGGATCCTAGACCGTATTGAACATGGCTCGAGCCACAGACAGGAATTTTCCCATCTGCAATGTAATATTCCTTGTTTCATGATATGATTGTTCAGTTAACACTGAACTATAAAATTAACCGAAAGCTTGCGAATTCTGCTGAGTATGTTTGGAAGCTTGTCGTGCTTTCGAAGCTGCGATCACAGCAACTGTTTGACACGGTCAGCGTGCAGATTATTGTGCAATTGTTCTTAAACTTCCTCCCTTTTGGCCTGCAGATCCACAAATATGGTTTGCTCAAATGGAATCCCAGTTTATCACACAAATAATCAGGACACAAAATGTCATCATATCGTCGCTACACTTCCGCCGGAGGTGGCTGTTGATATTCATTACCTGATCATCAACAAACCAAGTACGAATGCCTATGATGTGCTAAAGGACAAACTAATCACCAGGACAACCACCAGCCATGCTAAACGATTGCAGCAACTATTATCAGCCGAAGAATTAGGGGATCGCAAACCCTCTCAACTCCTCCGTAAATTCGAACAGTTACTTGACAACACATCCAGTGATCACCCATTAATTAGTTAGTGAAGTTTTCCTGCAACGGCTTCCCACCCATGTTCGACAACTCCTGGTTGCTACAATGAAAGATTCCACCTCTATGAGCAAGCTGGCCCAACAAGCTGATCTTATCATGGATGTTCCAGTACAAATATCAACACCATCCCAGCACAACAACAAGCAGCTAACGACTTCAGCAACTTACGTGCTGAACTTCAGGAAATAAACCAGACTATGGCAGCCTTTACCCAACAGCAGCATAAACCGGTCAAGAAGAAACGTCAAGAAGAGACTGACAATGGCTTCCCTACCCTTTGCTGGTATCACAGGCGTTTTTGATACAAAGCTCGCAAGTGTACATGCTCTGGAAACGAGATGGTAAGCAAGTAGAGACGGCGACTATGCTGACCCATGTAAAGAGCCGTCTCTTTTTTGTAACCGATAGAATTTCCTGAAAAAGTTTCCTAGTGGACACTGGCGCAGCTCACCTTTGCAGCCCATCAGCGTTGCTCTCGAGGCTGCCAACCACAGCAAAATCAAAACTTATGGCAAATGTTCACTTAACCTGAACCTCGGTATATGCCGTAAATTAGCGTGGGATTTTGTGGTTGCTGAGGTGAAATTCCCCATTATTGGCGCTGATTTTTTGCGCTATTTTTGACTGTTAGTGGATGTGCGAAATAACACATTACTCTATGCAACCACACTTTTGAGCGTTCATGGAACAGTATCCAGAATTAACTCTGTCAGCCCCATTCTAGTGGAACCATCCAAGTCTGAGTACCTCAACATTCTTGCAGAATTCCCCACAATTACCAACCCAGTCACTCAGACACAAGCCTTAAAGCACAATGTCACTCATCATATTCTTACCCAAGGTCCACCATTGTACTCGAAACCTCGCCGACTTGCGCCGGAGAAGTGCAAACTTGCCAAGTCAGAGTTTGACAACCTGCTTGCACTGGGCATCATTCAGCCGTCTCTAAGCAACTGGGCCTCCCCTTTGCACATGGTACCCAAGAAGACTCCAGGGCAATGGAGACCATGTGGGGACTATCGTGCACTAAACAAGCACACTATACCAGACCGCCACCCCATACCACATATCCAAGATTTTACAGCCAGTATCCATGGGGCAACAATATTCTCAAAGATTGACTTGGTGCCGGGTTACCATCAAATCCCCGTTGACCCAAAGGATGTTCCCAAGACCGCGATCACCATGCCTTTAGGCCTGTTTGAATTTAAACGGATGCCTTTCGGCCTTCGCAACGCGGCACAAACGTTTCAGAGATTCATGGATCAGGTGGTCCGCGGGCTTGATTTCGTTTACGTTTACATTGATGATTTACTTGTCTATGGTGGCCCAATGTTCTCATAGCATTAAATAACTATATATGACGATAATATAAAATATTTCCGCTTTTTTTCAATACAAAACTTTTTTTATGAAAAGAGAGTATACAATAGTAAAAAAAAACAAATAAAAAACAAACAAATAAATATATAAAATTAAAAATAAAACTGAACAAAATGAAAAAATAAATTAAAATACAAATAAAATTTAAATAACTAAAATAAATATAAACAAAAAAATAAAGTTTGAAAAACATACGAAAATGAATTGATTTGCAATTTTACTATGGGAACCATCGGCCATTACCTGGCCTATCTTCCTCATAAAAATGAAATTCAAAAAATGTTCAATTTCGAATCATATGTTCGTACATTCTCATAGCCCGCGATACCAGTAATGGGTATCGCTGTGTTACGTTATGTACGCATGATATGAAAGGTTTCTCAAAATGGCGGCCGGCAGAGGAGAACGTATTCGAAATTCGGAATGGGAAGACGATGAGGCCTTGGAAGCAGATCTCAAGAGATATGTCATGCAAAACCTTACTCGAAGAGAGGTATTAGATTTCGTAAAACACGATTTTCCGCATTATGCGTGGAATCTAGGAACTCTTAGTCGCAGGTTAGCGTATTTTGATATAAAATATGTTCGTTACGACATTGACGTACAAGAAGTGGAGAACATTGTTCGGGAAGAAATAGAAGGACCAGGACAACTTTTGGGATATAGGGCTATGCAAAAAAAACTCAGGGAGGTGCATAACTTAGCAGTTCCACGTGGGCTAGTCCACAACGTGATGGGGATTGTCGTCGACCCGGATGGCCTGGAGCGAAGGGGAAATGTTGGAGTTAAAAAGAGAAGAAGAGGAGCAATGGGGACATTCACTTCATTGGTAATACCTAAAAATATGTTAAAATTGTTTTGAATTATATATTATTATTTTGAAAATCAAGAAGGTTTGTATCTGACATTCTGTGCAAGAAATGTTGAAATATAATGTGTGAACTGTTTTCAAATTAACACTTTAACTTGAATGACATGATGCCATCACCCAAAGATTTATACATTCACGTGCGCAATTTCTATCAAGTCTGCAAACAAGCTTCTGTCAACAAGTTCTTTATATTGCATGCTTGTCCCAAGCTGTCAACAAGTATGTAACAACTTGTTAACATGTTGTAACAAGCATCATGTTTCAAGGTTGTTAGAATGTGTCAAGTAGATGCATAATATAACAACATTGTTACAATCTTGTGTTGTCAACCTTGTGACATACTTAATTGTTATACCATGGTTTGTTAGAACAACATTTTAGGTCTGGTAATGCCATTGTTTTGCCACAAGTTGTTAAACAGCTTGTTTGATCTAAACTTGCTACAATGTGAAACAAACAGTGCAAACACAACTTGTTGACAGCTTGTGAACAGACTTGTAACAACTCATTTGCAGACTTGTTACAAGTTGTACCTTTTTTTTTGCATGTACTAATTTTATGTATGTCATGATGATGTCATGATATATTGGGATTTTTTCAAATATCAAAAACTTTTTTATTGAACCCTGCTGGTAAACATAAAAATAAATTACTGTCTATGTCTTGTGGGCTAGTTGGTACATATAGTTTTAAGAATCATTTCAAAGTCACATCTCACACATTTACCATGTTTATTCAGGGTTCAAATCATACACATTCTGGAGATGGCCATGACAAATTGATGGGCTTTATGAATGATACATTTCCACTAGCTGTATATGGTGTACAAGATGTCTTTAGTGGTTATATTGTATATCTAAAACTATGGAACTCTAACTCAGATCCCAAGTTAATAGGAAGATGGTATCTGGAGAACTTGTACAATACCAGAGGTATTTTGTATATATTTATTTGTCAGCATACAGTATCAACACCTACATTTGTCTCAATATTTAATGTATAATTACTTTTTTGCTAAATGTTAAATATTGTTAACTTTACATTCATAGTTATAAGTAATCACCTGAGGCTCGACAAAGGAACAGAAACGGGTCAAATGGCTACTATTCATGCCTTTCTAATGCAATATAACTTGGAAGAGGTCGAAGATGTCAGTGCTGGAGAAACTGTCCATTATGGACCTTCTACAAACAACAAGGTGATTACCTAGTACTGGTCACTACATACAGCTAATCATTACTTTTCATGAATGTCCAATTGTGCTAATTAACCTACAGGCTATATATTATATTAAAAAAAATGTAGCGTTTATTTCTTTAGTCTAGCTATGTGTATATACAAAAAGAACTCTAATGTTTTGAGTTTCCCTTGATTTGTTATATATTTTGTTATGTATATGCAGATAGAAAGGTGGTGGCGTGAGCTACATCACCGTCTGGAGAAATATTTCAAGAGACAGCTGTTAATGTTACTTGAAGAAGGTCATTATGAACCAGACAATCAGAGATATAGGTAATATGACAATTTGGTTTAAATAATGTTGTTACCCAGCATCCCACCATTCAATAATCTGGATTATAAAATGTTACTTGAATTTCTTCAATTCCAGTTGGAATAATCAATCAGTGATTATTGGTTTCCAGTATAGTTGATATTTAAATGTTAATTAGTAACACTTCATTAATAAGAGTAAAGTGTAACTTTAACATGATGGGGAAAATGTGGTGTTTTTTTGTAGCCAAAATAGTAGGAATCCAAATTTTGCATCTGCATGAGTTTGTTCTATATTTCTTTTAAAGAGATCTTTTGGCATTTGTCTTCATACCGATAATTGCAAAAGAAATGAGTATGTTTCGTGAGACAATATGGAACTCACACAGGGTTAGGTGCCAAAAAGATGCTCGGATGCCTAAAGGAATACCCAATCACTTGTACGCATTTCCAGAGGAGTATGGGGCAGAACAATGTGGTACAATAACTTCATAACCTAAAATACACAATTTTTTTAAACATTCTTCAATTCCTATTACAATTAGATTTTTTGTTACATATAATATGTTGACAGGTTTTCCAGTAAGCAAGGAAGCACTTGACGAAGTTGCTGAGCTCTCTGGTGTCATGACTGTAGGAGACGATTTTTTGACTCCAAATGTGAGAGCTGAATGTGAAAGGATAATTCCAGAAATTAATGCTGTCAAGCCAAATGATACTACCACTGCTTACCTTTTTCTGAAGACCCATTACCAGCAGTCATCTAGTCATTAACATAAATGTGATGTTTTCTGTTAGCTTATATTATATTTTCCAAGAGATATATACATTTTACAATACCACTTACTTTAACATCTAATATAGTATTTACATATATGCAAATAATAGACATGGTGGAATAATTTCAAGCTAGGTAAATGGTTTTTAATAATTATCTGTATCAAAACTGTAAATTATTCTGCTTATTGATAGCTATTATATAAACATATTCTACGGCTGCAAGGCAGCATCCTAAAAGAATGATGGGAATATTGAGGAATATATCAGTTTCCGACATGTTTAAATAACACATTGGTAGCCTTGTAGGAATATATACATAAATACATTATGTGTGCATTCCTACAAGATTACTGATGTGTTAACTTAGTTATTACAGGAAACCAATATTCCAATAATGCTTTTAGTGCTCACATTGTACATTTGTCCACATTACAGTAATTGAAATAGCTGTATATGATTAACAGTTTTTTTGCTATAAAAATTTTATAACAGTTCAAAACATAACTATTTGATAACATAACAATTTTATAACAGCAAAAATTGCTGTAACATATTTATATGTCCTTTATAATGTAACATGTGTCTTTTATAATAAAATCATAGCTAATCCCCAAATCTTGTGCAGTCAATAAAATTATGCTGTTTATGTACGGTTGACCAGGAAGGTGTTACGTTTTAGACCCATTATTTCACAGAATTTGTTGCACGTGTGGTTTCCATTAAATTGACTAATGCTCACGGTTGAGAGATTCTCACAGCAGAAGTAAACTTTATCATTCTGGCTATGTAATTCTGTTGTTGCAATTTCTGGATCATATAAATGGTACTTTGCACCTTGAAGATCAAGAAGCATCAATTTCTCTGAACTTTGAACATACGAGAAATAAACTAAGCATTCTGCCTTCTCAAAAATGGTTGTCATGTCAGCACCGCCACTTTCTGGTTGTTTACATACTTTGCCATTGTCATTAATATACTTCCTAAATGTCCCTTCAACGAACTCGTCAACTGTAGCTGGCTGGCCTTGGTATACTGTGTAGTATGCATAATTGAATGTGAAGCATTGACCAAATTCCTTAGGTGCTTTGGTACTAAAAACTTTAGTCAGGTGCCTAGCAGCACAATGCATTTGGATCTGTTTACGTGTATGGTCTTCAACATTGCTTTCTAATGTTCCGGTAATAGTCTGTATAGCCTTGTCATTGTATGTCTTGATGACCCATTTTTCTTTCTCTTTACTTACTCCCAAAAAAGCATTACGGAATCCTCCAGAAGAAAAACTATCGCTCTCAACCACCAAATCAAGCGAATTTTGAACAGTCACCCATTCCTGGTTCTTGATGTCATATTTCTCTAGCTGCAATGACACATGGTTTTTTTTCTGGGCTTAACAAGCTGCCTAGCCTTCATCAATGCATCAATGGAAATGGATGCTGGATAAACAGTTTCTTCAGGTTCTTCACACTTCTCACTGTTACTTGCAGGAGGAAGGTATTCAGGCATGCTATTTGCTAACTCACTTAGACTTGAGCACCCCTCTTCCTCATCTTGGTCAGTGCTTTTTAATTTAAATCGCACAAGGTAGACCTGATATTAAACAAACAAGACACAATGTGAACATGACTTATTACAATTTTTTAAACATCACAAATTTGCTGCAATTTATTCGTTTTCAAATATCATAGTATATCGGTTACAGAAACGTTTAATAGTAAATAAAAGAATAGCAAAATAATTTTACGAGAAAATTTGAACAGTTTCATTTGATTTGGCATTTCGGCCGAGACTTCAGCTTCAGAGTTCAGAAACTAATGGATAAAATAATCGTTAAAATGCAGATTCATAACAAATTTTATGGAAAGTATCAATATTTTGTAGCACATTTAGTATCTGCCAATATTCGGCTGAGGCGAGGGGTTATTGTATGCATGTATTTCTAGTTATACAGTATATCTTATTCAGCTACCTACCTTGTTCTTCCTGTGAGGTATCTGGTTTATGTTGGTATATTGAAGGGCCTTTGTTCTTAACAAGGACATCACAGGAGGCTGCTGGGAGACGAAAGTGAGCTCCACAAGCCTTCTTTAGATTTTGCAAGGTCAAATCCTCGTATTCATACGACACAAATTCTCTGGGTTGAACTGGTTTAAATGTTTGTTTGTGATCCGGCTCAGATGCCAAGCGTTGTGCTATCAGCTAGTTTGGTGCCGAACCAGTTTTCTTTCCCTTTTGTTGCACGGCATTTGACTTAATTCGCTTGTTTTTCATTTTGTTTTCTAGGTCTTTCCATGCTTGCTGTCTTTTGGGAGGCATTTTTAACATCAATAAGTTGTAAAAATATTTTATGGCTATAAACGCATGATCATCTTTCCCGCCATTTTGAGAAACCTTTCATATCATGCTTACATAACCTAACGCAGCGATACCCATTACTGGTATCGCAGGCTATGAGAATGAGAACGATGGGCCATGTGTATGAACATATGATTCGAAATTAAACATTTTTTTAAATTTCATTTTTATGAGAAAGATAGGCCAGTTAATGGCCGACGGTTCTCATAGTAAAATTGCAAATCAATTCATTTTCGTATGTTTTTCAAACTTGATTTTTTTGTTTATATTTGTTTTAGTTATTTAAATTTTATTTATATTTTAATTTATTTTTTCATTTCGTTCAGTTTTATTTTTAATTTTATATATTTATTTGTTTGTTTTCTATTTGTTTTTTTTCACTATTGTATACTTTCTTTTCATAAAAAAAGTTTTGTATTGAAAAAAAGCGGAAATATTTTATATTATCGTCATATATAGTTATTTAATGCTATGAGAACATTGGGCCACCATACTTGTCACAAGTTCTTCCCCTAAAGAGTACGAGCAACACCTACATCAACTTTTTGCCTGCCTCACTGAGTATGGATTAGTTATTAACCCAGACAAATGCAAATTTGGCAAATTTGAACTGGTTTTTCTCGGCCATCGTATTAGCAAGGATGGCATACTGCTCACAAAAGAGAAAGTCCAAGTCATTCTCGATTTTCCACTTCCCCAGTCCACCAAGAAGCTTTGAGAGTTTCTTGGTTTGGTAGATTTTTGCCACCGATTTATAGACAAGTGTGCTTCCCTTCAAGCTCCACTCATTTCGTTCCTTACACACGCTGATCGACCTAAAGCAAAACCTCAGTGGACAGAGGAGCTGGTCAGTGCTTTCGACAAGCTTAAGCAAGCACTGGCGACTGTCACCCAACTTAAACGTTGGCACCCATCGCCTGAGACCAGCATAATCGTTGACGCATCCGACATTGCCATGGGAGCAGTTCTCCAACAGAAGTTTGGTAGTCACTGGCAGCCTTACGGGTTCTTCTCCAAGAAACTCAAACCTGCTGAAACCCGATATAAATATAAACCTGCTATAACCCGATATTTACTCCACTCGGATGATTCGACCTGCCACAAGATCGATTTAGTAATGTGCACATCAACCTCGTTGGGCAACTATCGTCATCTAATGGTTACACATACTTGCTCATGTGTATTGACCGTTTCACACGGTGGCCAGAAGCCATTCCCATTAGCAACATCACAGCGTCAACCGTTGTTAAAGCGTTCTTGTCGGGTTGGATCTCCAGATTTGGAGTGCCATCTACAGTCACTACTGACAGAGGAGCTCAATTTCAGTCGCTTCTGTGGCAAGAACTTACCAGATTACTCGTGACTAAGCATATCCACACCACAGCATATCATCCCATTGCAAATGGAATAATCGAACGTTTTCATCGCCAATTAAAAGCGTCCCTTTAAGCCAAATCAATTTCCAACATGTGGACCGATTCCTTACCTATGGTCCTACTCGGCATAATAAGTTCGTACAAAGAGGACCTTCAAGGATGTATGGCAGAGCTGGTCTAGGGCACCACATTATGTTTACCGGGACAATTTTTTGATCCGTCGTCCCAGAATGAGAAGGCACCGACGTCAGATTTCGTTCGTGAGCTCAAAATAAACACGCAAAACCTTAAAGCGATGCCCACTAAGTCACATTCTCGTCCTATTTATGTAAATAAGAAGTTTGAGTCTTGTACACATGTGTTTGTTCGAGAGGACCACGTACAGAAACCACTAGACATGCCATATAAAGGGCCATATCGCGTACTACGCCGGTTAGACAAGTACTCTGAGCTCGATATCGGTGGCCGCCATGACACAGTTTCGCTAGATCGGTTAAAGCTGGCATTTGTAGACAATCATCGAGAAGATAAGGATGAGTTTATTACGTGCCCTGCAGACGGTGAACTCTAACAGATAGAAACAGGCAGTGCAGAATCGGAAGATGCAGAATTTCAAGAGTTTTCCTCCGTCCCACGCCAGACTAGAGCAGGCAGGGTGATACGGACACCAAAACGGTATGCAACGTAATGTTGCTATACACTAGAAGGGGGGTATTGTAGTGACAGTCGTAGTGGCCTGGGCTAAGAGGACATGTTGTGTTTAATGTTGATAACGAAAGGAGATTAGAGAGTTAGTCGAAGCGTGAAGTCTGATATAGCTTGTTCAGTTACGTTAATAAAATACATCGAAAGGTTGTATTGTGTATACATCCAAGTTGTATATTGACCGCCAAAGACAGAAATTTCCGTCTTTTGGTTCCCAACTGTTTACCGCCAAAGACGGAAATTTCCGTTTTTCAACGATTTTGTCATACAAGTCACACAGCTATCCCCAAGTGTACCCTGGAACTCCACAATGCCTTGTTACATGAATTACTGCAAGTGCTCAATGTTGCAATTTAGCAATGGCTTCTCTACAGCGTTCTTGAATGTCAGTTGCCAAAGTTTCGGAATTATTTGCCGATTCTGACTCAGAAAATGATTATTTTGCCTCCGATTTATCTGATAACGATGAAGAGTATTCAGACAGTTGTTCAAATGATGAACTCGAATTACAACAATCTTCTAATATCGACTCTAACAATGATGAATCTAACACAAAGTTCA